CGGTTTTGGTGACGGGATTGCGATCCAGCAGCGCGAATGAGCGTACACCCTGTTTCGCAAGAGCGTATGCGGTGTATTGGCCAATGCCTAACGACATGTTAGCTCATTGCTTGTAACTGTTACACAGTCTGGTGGTGCATACCAGACCCAGCACCGGTAATATACGCCACTCCTTTCAGTGTAAAAGCCATGTTCTTGGGTGCAGCGTGTGGATTACGAGCCCTTGCTGGGTATTCAGCTATCGAATGTCAGGTCCGCGGAACGTTGCTCGTGAACAGTGCTGCCGCCACTGTTGCTATTAGCCCAATGTTACGATTCAAGAGCTATCAGCGATGCCCTGCGCCTTGCATATGCACCGTCAGGGGAAGTGTGGAAGGCTGATGCTGTGGAGGCGGTTCTTAAGCGGGGCTACACTCTGGATCGGTTGCGGTTTTCCTGCTCGTGGAGGCGAACACAACCGAGTCATGTCTGCTCTACGATGCGAGGACCTTCTACGTTACATCTGAGCTTGGTCGCATGCTGCGAGAACTGCGAGTCCAGCTCATGTAGGATGCGACCATTTTGTGTCAATGTGACAAGGTGCTATGAAGGCACGATGACCTCGATCGGTCGCCGTCAAACACCTTCAGTATGCTTGCCAAGACCGAGTCATCAATACTGGAAGCGGTCGCGAATGCCGTTGCAAGAAAGTAAATGGGCGCTAATGGTGGTGAAGAACGGTAGAAGGCTTGCAAGGCGGATCGTGATGCACGGATGGCGTGTTGTTCTACGTCATCCTGGGCACGTGTTTGCGTGTTCTAGCGCGGTTCCGTGGTTCGCATCTTTCGCCACCACGGTTCAAGCCCTGCATCCACCCGCACCCCTCCTCGCGATGCGCCTCCGCCATGCCCCCCACACCTCATCGAATCGCGCAAACATCGACCGAACTCAAAAAGCAACACAAGAAACATGGCCCCCGCCTTAACGAGCGCCAGCAGAAGCAGCTCGAACGCGACTTTGAACTAGAACAGCGCGCCACCCGCGCGCGCGAAGCCGAAGAACGCCGCAAAGCAGCAAAGAAGAAGCGCGAGGAGAGGGAGGCCAAGGAGGCGAGGGCGAGGCAGCAAATTGGCGTTGGCCTTGCGACACAGCTGGTTGGATACAGTCATACACAGGCGCAGTTGAAGAATGGCATGGAGGCATTCCTGGGGCTGAAGAAGAAGAAGGACGAAGAGAAGCGCAAGAAAGACTTGGAGCTTATCAAGAAGATGGACGAGATCGCTGAAGAAATTGAGAAGGAGCCATGGGACGACGACGATGAAGACATGGGCCTCGAGCTGCCCAGCGCGAATGTGTCGTGTGGAGAACAATGGCCTGACGATGATCTCGACGACGACACGCTACTCGAAGCACACGATATGGTCATGTCGGATCCAGTAGAGGAACCACAGGCTGTCACACTGCCACCTCCTGCGCCTGCCGTTTCGATCGAACCTGCCCCACCCGCCGCGCCGACCCCTTCTCCTAGACCAGCTGCTGTCAAAGACGACCGCGAGTTCACCCGCACCCATGGCCCCATCAATAAAGCCATCGAGACTGTCTTGGACAAGTTACCCGAGCCTCTGCTCGAGATGCTGTCACAAGATCTTTCGCTTAAGACGCCAGACTGGGACCCGTCACTCGGGCTGTTGCATAAGCTGAATCCAGTGGGCCTACCTCCGCATCGACTGCGAATCAAAGTTGGCTGCATTGTCATGCTGCTCCGGGATCTCAACACAAGCAGTCAACTGTCCAAGAGCCAACACTTGCGAGTCCTAAGGTGCGAGAACGATCGACTGGAATGCTTGGTTCTGGATGGGCAGCTACAGGGAACTAAGACTTTCCTGACGCGGGTTCCATTCATTGCAAAGTATAAGAATCTAGACCAGCACCCTTTTCAGCGGACGCAGTTTCCCATCCGTGTAGCCGTAGACTATACACCGTCAAGCACGCCACGAGACACATCACAATCGGGGTTTAAGCTGCCCTCCATACCTGGTCGTGTGCCACCCGCGGGTTCATTCAAGAAACCGACCCTTCCCGCCGTCAAAGTGAAGCCTCCCACAAATAAGAATCCCGGCTTCAAACTCCCTGGACTCCCGGCCTCAAAGTCAAACCCTTCCGTCACAACTGAACCTACACCAGTCGCGAAGCAGAGCCGGTACCTACCACTACCACCGACAGACTGTTGGGACGACTTTCTCGAAAGTAGCACGCAGATCTCGCGAGAGCTAGCTTCAGAAGCAGCCCCGACGGTAGAAGACCCAGTCAGACCCCCAGCGATCGTATCGCCTCCGACTATTGATACGCTTCCCCCCATTTCGACCCAAGACTTCGACTTTTCTCTAGATGATCTCGATGAAGAGCCGGATGCAAAGGAAACGATATTTGAATCTGCTCCTACTATACAGCATGATCTGCCCGGCATAGTTTCTGTACCGCTCCAGGGATACTCAAATATTACTCGACCCTCACCACAGCCGACGTCTTTGCCTCTTCCTCCGCAATTGGCCACCCCGTTGATGCCTCACATGCGGATGAATAGCCTCCCTACACCCATCGAGTACTCACCGCGTCCTTCTGCGACTGCGAACTCAAGCAGGCCATTATCATCGTCCAAGAAGGTAGCGGGTAAATGTGTCAAACCAGGTCCCTTTGCATCGGGACTCGATGCTGAACTTGCTAAGCTCAGAGCCTCTCAGCTGCCGATGTCCATGTCTGGCCCCAGTGTAAAGAGGAAAGCTTCGCCGATACCTTTGAAGACCCCGGCGCCACCAGTAAAGAGGCAATGCGTACCTATCGCTCACGCGAAAACCTCTCCAGTGGGCTCGGGACCAAGCGTGTCTTTTGACGACTTCTTCATGTCGACGCAGGATGCAGCTTCTTTCTTCGATGATGACGATAATATGAGCTTTGGATCGCCCCCCATTGCAGTATGATTGACGGATTGGCTTATAGATACATGAGAGACGTTGGTTATGGAGTTTGGGTCTTGGATATGATACCCGTTTTGGTTTCTTTTGCTAGATGAATACGTAGATACGCGATTAATGAACCTCCATGTGCTCAGCGATGGCATTCCTCCAGGTTTTCACGAAACATAATACTTGAAGGACACAATTGCACACCGTGGGACAGGCATGGATGTGGACATTATTGCTTTCCTTCGCACGCAGAATAAGCACATGCAGCTACTATAGAATGCCCCAAAACTCTTCTGGCTCCAACCCCCATTTCTTACACAGCTCCCTATACCTCTCTGTATACCCCTCGGCTCTCTTCCTAAACCCTTGCGCAGTCTTCATCTGATCTCTCCCAACTTGATGTCGATGAGCTGAATCCGGACCGTCAGCCACCCTCACGAAACGAGCATACGTCCACAGCTCCGGCAACGGCGTATGTTGCGTCAGACCTTGGCCACCATATATCTGCATAGCCTCATCGATGACTTTGAGAAGCGCATTCGGAACCATGATCTTGCTCTGCGCGATAGCGTATTTACCTGCCTTGTTGCCTTGAAGATCCATTGTATCTGCCGCATTGAGCACAACAAGTCGCATAGCATCGATCGTCATGCGCATATCTGCTATGCGTTCGATATTGCTGTCGAACTCGCCGATGAACTTGCCCCGTGGCTTCTTGCGCGGCTCCATGCAGCGGACGAGCGCGAGTTCGAAAGCACGCTCTGCTTGGCCGATCAAGCGCATGCAGTGGTGTATACGACCTGGCCCCAATCGTCCCTGTGCTATCTCGAACGCGCGGCCAGGACCGAGGATGATGTTCTCGCGCGGCACACGCACGTTCTCGTAGATGTATTCGCCATGTCCCTCCGGCGCCCAATCATAGCCCATGATGGTCAGGTTCCTGACTTGCTTCAGCCCGGGACTGTTCGCCGGTACCACCAGCGTTGTGTGTCTATTCCAGGCGTTCGCGTTCGTGGGATCTGAACAGCCCATCAGGATGAAGAGCTGCATTTCTGGGTTGTACTGGCAGTTGCCGTATAGCTTGCGTCCGTTTATAATGACTTCCTTGTCGGTGATTTCCATCTTTATGCCGACTTGGGTTGCGTCCGATGAGGCGACGTCGGGCTCGGTCATGCTGTATGCGGACGACATGTCGCCGTTCATGAGGGGGTGGAGCCATTTCTTCTTCTGCTCCGGTGTGCAGTACTTGGCGAGGAGTTCGATATTTCCGGTCTCGGGGGCATGGCAGTTCATCGTCTGGAGAGGTGTTAGAAAATGTTCAGGGTGGGTGGATCTGGAGAAGTTTACCTGCGCTGCCCAGTACACTCTCCCCATAATCTCAGCGCAGCATGAGTACTCCAGGTTGGTGAGGCCTGGACTCTCCACAAAATGGTTCGGTAGGAAGAGATTCCATAATCCTTGCGCTTTTGCCTTCTTTCGAAGGTCATGAATAATGGCTGGTGTCTCCCATCGCGTTTTGCTCTCCTTGAGTTGGGCTTTGTAGATGCGCTCGGCCGGTATGCACTCGGTCTCGACCCAATCGTATACCTGCTGGATCTTCTCAATTGCGATCGGACGAAGTTTCGCTTTCACCCACGGCGGTATACGCGAGAAGGCTGGGCTGCTGTTGATGTCGATGTTCGAGACCATCTTGGAGATTCCTAGGTCGTGAGTAATGCTATGGAGGTAAGTGAAGACGATCAAACTTCAAGATCAAACGTCTACGCGTGCATATAGCAGACATGACTCGCTGCACGGTCGATGCCGACGCGTCGCGATATGTGGCCCAGCCGAGGCGATGTTGTTTTGGCGGGGGAGCCGGAAGTCTTTAAGCGTGGGGAGCACAGGCGACGAATGGGGAGCTTGGACCCCTGACGTCTTTACGTGTCGACGTGAGTCGAGATGAACAGCCAGTTGACACGACATGACGCCAACCTTTGTTGGGGCGTCGGGCTTTATACAGCATCGCTTCCGATATGGGAGGGGTTGTTCATTGTTTACACATCAATCTAGGGCAACATGGCTAACGAGGAATTCGCGAAACCATGGCTTGAGGTATGTCAAGTGGAAGGATGTGCATCAGGCTGTTCTAATAAGTTTGCGCAGTTCGAAGAAGAGTTCGGCGAGCGCATGCTCCTGAAGCCGCCGATTTCAAGTATGACCGAGCAGTTCACGCGATACGGTGGCCTCATGGCTTCGAAATATACCTTCCCTGCGCCCGACCCTTCCGTCAAGACCGAGGACACAGTCACCGACGACGGGACCAAAGTGCGCATATACACACCCGATGGTTATACCGGTGGCAAGCCAGTGTGCATGTACTATCATGGTGGTGGTTGGGCTATGGGCGATGTCAACGGCGACGACCCATTTAGCAGAGCAATCTCGAAAGCCGGTGGCATAGTGGTTGTATCTGTTGAATATGGGCTCGCCCCGGACAACAAACATCCTGGGCTGATGAATGAGTGCTACAAGGCCTTTTTGTGGGCATTGGCCAATTCAAAGCGACTCAACACCGCTTATGGCAGGTACCTCACTGCGGGAGTCTCCGCGGGAGGTCAACTGGCTTTTGCAACTGCGCTGAGAGGCCAGCACGAGAGAACAGGCGAGCTTGTTGGTGTTGTCGCCATTATTCCTGCGACTGTCCATCCAGATGGTGTTCCTGAGATACTCCGGGAGGGCTATACATCAATGGAGGAGCATGATCAGCACACCATCAATACCGCGGGGGCAATGCGAGCCTTTTGGGACGCGTTCGGTGCTCCGCCGACTGATGTATATGGATCACCACTACTTCATCCTGGGGTCAAGAACCTGAAGAAGGTGTACATGGTCGTTGCGGGGCAAGATACACTAAAAGATGACGGCGTGCTTATGAAGTATATGCTCGATGATGCGGAGTAGGTTTTCTGTTTCGTTGCAGGTTGTTACTAACGTGGCCGTAGGGTACCTACCAAACTCGACTACTACGATGACTATCCACATTTCTTCTTCGCCTGGCCCTCGCCCAAACTCGATGAGCCGAGGAAGCAGTTCTATGAAGATCTTGCTGAGGGTGTGAAATACGTGTTGTCGGAGTAGCCGTAGCTTGACCATGCACATTTGGCCAACCCATATGCGTCGTCTTGTGGTATAGAAACAGCACCCACAACTCATCTGGGTGGATGCAGTTGCACCTGAGGTACATCGTGACGAGGCGGAACAGGTCACTACCAAATGTTGATCATTAACCTAGAGTAATCTTAGTCTCTTCTCGCTTGTTGCTTTCCCAGTGTTGACTAAACATGCGCCCACACCCAGCTCTGTGTGCAATGTTGTCGTCAGCTCTTTGAATCCACAGCACGTTGTAAAACTCGTACTCCGGGCTTTCCTCGTAACTATCTGCTGAGACATCGAGAACCTCGTCATGTCCCTCGGTCGCATCGATCCGGTAATCGTGTTCATCTATCGGATTCAACTCATCTGAACTATCAATCCACCAGTCGTTGGAGTCGTACGTGGCGTGAAACGGTCGATGATATCGATACATGCTTCTTTGAAACACCTTCTCCTCGAACCAGCTAACTATCTTTTTCCTGGTGATATTACACTGCGAAATAGCGATGAGCTCTATTGCCTGGCCTCTCTTGTACGCTATTTCTCCTGTTGAACGCAGTAGACCCGAGAACCTCGACATTTGGTCCCTGAGAACGACGATTTTAGGCATGCTAGTAAGAGGTTTCTTAGTCAAAAATTGGTTGGCATAACAGTTTAGGAAACCTGAGCGAAATCTTCGGTATGGCTGGCGGAAAATTCCTAGTGTGGCTGCTGGAAAGAACCGTGCGACGGCTACACGAGCTGACATATGATTCAGTGGTATCGACTTCGCTGATACGTTACTTCGGGGCCGTTTGCGTGACACGATCATGGGTCGTTCATCCGATACGACCATTCATCTGTCAAGCATTGCTGGGTCTTGTGCAGGAGTCGAATGTTTCCACTCAACAATATTGTGCAATCTTCCAAATCCTCCAAGCTTCTCGAGACCCAAGGCAGGGCCAAAGCTTCGGGGATCAACAAAGCACTGCTAACCACATCAGGCCAAAGATAGAAGAGTGGATCTTCGAGGCGATAAGTGAAGCGACACATGCAGTGGCTGCCAGAGAAGTGCATAATCTCGTATTGTTGTGGCAAACCGAACAAATACCCGTCTGGAAATGCCGGGGAAAGACGGCTTAAGATACACGTGCATGTGGATAATCTGTCTTCTTGGTGAGAAAGGTCCCGATCGTTTGAAGGGCTCATCAAGTCCGCATAACGACGGAACCCCGTCGAAGTTGATGCAGGAATCTTTGAAAGGATAGTCGGCATAAGTGGGGCCAGAGCGGCAGATCCGGGGCTCTTCTGTGCTTCATGAACATCCAAGTCCCAGACAACCTTGGAACGCACTCATACTGTCAGAAGACCTATTCATCGAGGAAGAGAACGACGCGTGTGCTCAGTATATGCTCTTGGTATGTCCAGGCTCCCTTTGTCCATCTCGACTGGGATAATGTTTAGTAGTTACTCGCAATACACAAAGTCTTGACTTCTTCCTCGCTGCGATGGGCGTGGCGCCAGACTGGCACAAGTGGAGTTGTGAAACTTGACTGCATCCAACAAGTAAAGTGCATCTAGATTGTCGAATGTGGCATGAGGCACGGCAGCCCTCGAGGGTCCCGGTGAGAGCTAATACATTTCGGGCTAGTCGGGTAAACGTGCACGAAGTCTTATCTAAGACAAGCTCAGGGGTTCAATCTCTACCGCGTATCCCTTCGTATGTGGAGGATCGCTTAAGCATTGACACGCACGCTAGCATTTCCAAGGTTTTCTTGGTTCCTGCTTGATCCCATGAGCTATAAGCTAGCCTCAATGCAGACCTCGACAGCAACGTCTCAGGTGTCCCGTTGACCCATTTCGCAAAAATGGCAGAGTTTGACAGTACCTAGGTATCCATGAAGGGGACGTCCGGCTCCTTGGCCATGCTCGAAAACCTCATGGTCAGCATCAATCTCGACAATACGATGTTTGTCCGCGCTCCTGCTAGCGCACGACCCAAGGTAGATAGCTCACCCAAAAAGGGATCCAACTCGTATCCCTTTTCCACCCGTTCGAGCCGACTCGACGCCCAGTTCGGCAGAAATGCAAGATGAACGCTCATATTAAACTGTTCCCCCGGAGCCAAGAGGACTTTCCTTCTCCTCACAGGTCTTTCAACCTCGCAATCTAACCCTTACACTCGTTTCAAAAAATCATTTAATATCACACTCTTTAATCTTTAATAATGTCTTCGATCATCCGCACCGTCTTCGCGCTCAGCGCTGCCGCCGCCGTCGCCGTCGCTCAAGACCCAAACTCCCCACCCCCCAAGCTCGACGCCCCCTGCGCCGATGCCGTTATCTTCATGGCCCGCGGTAACACTGCGCCGTACCATGACTACCGTACATTCCCCTTCGCCGACGCTACGTGCGCCAAGCTAAGGGCTGAGGGCAAGACCTGCGACTACATTGAGGTCGTGTTCCCGTACGGCGGCGACTACTGCAAACAAATTGGCGAGGGAGTCCGCAACGGTCTTGACCAGATCACTGCTTTCAACAAGAAGTGCCCGTGCACGCACCTCATCCTCAATGGCTTCTCTCAGGGTGCCTGGATCATGGGAGATGTCCTTGCTGGACCTGGTGGATGCTCGCAGATCACCACTGGTCTCGACCCTGCCGCGGCTCCTGGTAACGCTAGTAAGTATCCTTGACATAACACACTCGAACATTGGACTGTGCTAATGTGGTAATTTAGTCGCTGCTGCTCTCCTCTGGGGCGATGTCAAGCACGAGGCTAACATGCCATACAACGTTCTCGACGGCTCTGATCTACAGAAGAATGGTCGCGACGCCACCTCTCTTGCGCGCCTGAACCGCTTCGCACCCGTCCTGCGCTCTTACTGCTCTAAGGGAGACCCGATCTGCGCTAACGGCGACGACGTCGAGAAGCACCTGAGCTACTTTGAGAAGTACACCGAAGACGCCTCGAACTGGGCCGTTGGAAAGCTCAATGCCGCCGCTCCTCTGTGTGCCGCTCCCACACCTACGCCCAGCGCTTCTTCTTCTGCCGTCGCCTCGTCCGTTCGCGTTGCCGCTGTTGCATCCTCGAGCGCTGCTGCTTCTTCGAACGCTGTTGCATCTTCGAGCGCTGCTGTTGCCTCTGGCGCTGCTGCCTCCTCCGGCGTTGCTGCCTCCTCCGGTGTTGCTGCTTCCTCTGGTGCTGCTGCTCCCTCTGGCGCTGCTGCTTACTCTGGCGCTGCTGGTTACCCTGGCGTTGCTGCTTCCTCCAGTGTCGCCGCTCTTCCCGCTCAGCCTACATCTCCAGTTTACGTTGCTCCCTTCACTGCTCCCATGTCATACAAGGCTATGTGCGTTCCCCGCATCACGATCAAGTATCACTACGTTTAAGAGTAAGAAGGAAGGAAGATGTAGCGGAGTAGACGTAGTGTCAGCAGTAAATAGGTGTAGATCGATGAAGGCACTATGAAAAAGAACGACCGTCGTATGCGACGTCTGCCCGAACTTTTGGTTTTCGTGCGTGATGAGTGTTTTCCGTCTGCTCTGTCAGTGCGCTGTGAACTCTTGTAGAGCACGATGGTCTAATCTATGAACGTCTAGCCTGGGACGTAGTGTTCGATCACCCATCTGGTTTTGAAGTTCTCATGAGCTCTTGCTGGGGTCATAAAACGTAGGATTGCCAGAACTTGTACATACGACCATAGGACACTTTTGCCACCCACCATCCCGCACCTCGAATCACAACCCGTACACGTAGTGTAACATCTTTTTTTGCCTCTGTATTGTAACTCGCCGTGGACGCACGGCGTAGAATGCAAGACGAAGTCGCGCGAAGTTAGTCGAGCTAGACGTCTGGACCCCGCTTCTTCCTTCCCCGCGCGCCACGCACCCAGCATCCTCCAAGCTTCACCTCTAGCCAAACGTTCTCAGCCAGCGCGCCATGTCGGCCACCTTTTTCCGTATGAACGGCTTAGCTAGGCCAAGTCAGCAACGGTGCTCTCATGGTGTCGGGATGACTCGCAGCACAATCCCTGCAGTCTTTCCTGTTTTGTCGCGCCTCACAACCGGTTGCATACATAGGTAGAGAGAACGGGAAGCGCAGACTAGGTATTTATACTCTTCTTTGGATCCAACATAGTCCTCAAGCTATACCAGAAGCCACGCAAGAGACATCAGGACAATTCCAATCATGAAAGCCGGCCAGTGGGATCCGTAAGCACATAACACCTAGGTAATCCTCACTGAGTATGAGACTGACGAGACATCCAGCAAGCAGCAAAAGGTCGTCGTAAATGACGTGCCGAAACCCACCGAAGCACCAAATCAGTTCCTAGTCAAGATACAGTCAGCGTCATTATGTCATTCAGACCTGCTCATGGCCATGAGGCCCGATTACAACGTTACCTTAGGCCACGAAGGAGTCGGCTACATTGAGTCCATCGGATCAGAAGCCAGTGACAAAGGCTTCAAAGTCGGCGATGCTATCGGGTTCAACTACTTCATCGGCGCGTGTTTCGAATGCGAAGGGTGCATGATCCACAACATGCGATGCGAGACGGGTAACCAGAAACTACAAGGTTTTGTGTCGGATGGGTACTTCGCCGAGTACGCGGTCGTTGATTGGCAAAACGCAGTCAAGCTACCCGAAAACCTCGATATGAGTAAAACTGCGCCGCTGTTTTGTGCGGGTATCACAGCATTCCACTCAGTGGACAGCTGTGAGCTGAAGGCGGGCGATTGGCTGGCGGTCATCGGGTGCGGTGGTCTTGGACAGTACGCGATACAATACGCAAAAGCCGTGAGTATATGGAGGAAGCCGCGCTACGCATGGAAACTGACAGGATGCAGATGGGTATCAAGACCATCGGTCTCGACATAAACGACAACCAACTCGATGTGGCGAAGAAGGTCGGCGCAGAAGCTGTCTTCAACTCCATGAAGAACAAGGATTATCTCGAAGAGATCAAGAAGCTCACCGGAGGCAAAGGATGCCACGCAGCGGCGGTCTACAGCGCATCAAATGCAGCATACGCCGGCGCACCGGATGTCCTGAGAACGGGTGGACTACTCATGGTCATTGGAATCGCACCGAAGGGACTCGACTTCATCAACACTTTCGATTTGACAACGGGACGATACCGCATCAAGGCCGACAGCACGGGTATTCCGCAGCGAATGAAGAAGGCCGTGGACTTCACCGGCAAGCACAGGTATGTTGCTTCCTTTAATGTACCGATAGAGTTTCTGACATTCCGCAGTATACAACCAGAAGTCGAGTTCCGCAAAATTGATGACTTGCCTCAGATGGTGGCGGACATGGAGGCTGGCAAAGCTGAGAAGAGGCAGGTTGTTGTATTCTAGACACTTTATCTATTTAGTACAGCATGAACTCTGCGATATCAACCAAGCGTGAGAACAAGTATCTTCACCACTGTGCCTACATACCGTGAGGTGCACGTACCACTGACGAACGATCATTGGTACAACATGACATTAGGCAGCCTTCTTCGATAGTGCCACTGGTAGTACCGCCTCACACTAGACCCCGCACGCTGAACTTGGCTTGCTCGTCTTTCCTCCGTCGGTTATGCACGGTCACTGTTAGTGGCTGTACTTGTGGAATACACAGGTACTTTACGTCCTAGGAGACGACAACCCCAGAGCCTTCATCTTTATTACACGATCACCAACTACGCGCTAACATGGCCTGCAAGACTATCGATGTAATCTGCCCGCTCTTGCTTTCCATTGTATACGACTAACACGTCAACAGCATGATTTCGCAAACCCCGAGTTTGAGTGGGACGTACAAGAGAACTACCAGCGTCCGTCTATCCTCGCTACTACATGATACTATGTGCTGACGCTTTCTGCCAGCCTGTATAAAGCTCTCCTTCTTCTTTCGCAAACACCCCGACGTGACCGATGAAATCTTCAAGAAGCATTACAACCACATCCACTCCGACCTCACCGTCGCATGCAAGAAGTTCCACGCAGTCAAGATACAACGCTACGTCCAGCACTACCAATCACCAGACCTCAAAGCCAAATTGCAGAGCTTGGGCATGGATCTACTAGACTACGATGCTTGCAGTCAAATCTGGGTGAAGAAGTGGGAAGACTGGGAGGCTTTTGCCGGGAGTGACGAGTACCGGGCTGCGCTCATGCCGGATGCGGAGAAGTTCATGGATCTGGAGAAGGGCATCCAGGTCATGGCTGGGTGAGTCTATCTCTCTTCAATTTCTTTGGCGGGTAATGTCGGCGAGGGTGGTGGTTAGTGTGGACTGATTTGCTGATGAAAAGAGTCTAGGCATGATATGATTTGCTTTGGAAAAGCGATTCCTGATTGCGATGCTACGGATGGGATTACGCGTAGAGTGGATGCATAGTCTGAGCGCTGTCTGGACATAGTCCGAGATGCAGGGTACTAGTCGTTGTAGTGGATTGGAGCGAAAGACTACCATATCTGTTTACCTACACATGATCTCTCTGCGACTGGATAATATTCACACTGAATTATCCCACCATGTCTCTTCCATGCCTTGATGAAGATGCACGGTTTGCCGACTGAGAAACTGTTCAGCACAAACAAACCAGCCCAACCCTTGGCCAATTCCAGGACTTCAACCTCGTGGTGTCACATGTCGGTCTTGTCTAGCTCATGTTCTACAATGCATACTGTATTTCGCATGTGCTATGATAGCCATTGCAGTGGTCTCGACGTGAACGCACGGATGTCGGAAATAAGCTTTCACGCGTAGCTCAGTACCGACGGAAACGTTGTTCCAGGTGAAGACGATCCTCGCCCCTTTATCGCCCAATACCACTTCCAGCCAAGCGCCATGATGTGGCGTACTTCTTCTCCGCAGTCAATTTCGGATACCCACATCCACATCCACTACCCCGGATTTCCAGAATGTGCAATGGAATGCTGAAAAATGAAGGGGAAATCCAACCAATAGAATAGCCTGCTGGCATAATTAGTTGTGCTTCTGTGTATCCGAGATGCGGGGCTGGGGGAAAGTTTAGGTATCGCACCAGTGGCTTGATGAGGTGTGACTTGTGCCTGTCTACAAAATCCAGCGAAGGATATATGCAAGCCATAAGTGGGCTCTTTGCGACGATCCCTCACCCCAGTTACACAAAGTCGCACCTGCATCAGGCGACTTTCCTTTCACCAGACTATCATGGTAGGAACAGCCATCCACGAGAGCGGGCTGCGCCGGCCGTCGGACGAGAAGAGAGACATTGAGCAAATCGAGACCGTTGCAGCGACACCACCACAGACATTCGTGACTTCAGACGCAACCACCATAACGCCAAAGACATGGCTCGTCATCTTCATCCTGTCTTCGACCTTTGGTCTTTCCTTTTGGCCTGTACCCACCACCTCAGCGATGATGTCTCGGCTTGCCATTCAATTCGGTGCTCCGACAGCGAGCGCGTGGTTCATACCCGCTTACACAACAGCGAACGCGATTGGCTTCCTTCTTGCGGGCGCAAACTCTGATCTTTTTGGAAGGAGGTGGTTCTTGTTGTTTGGTAATGCGTGTTGTTGCGTCGGTTTCATCGTGACAGCGACAGCGAAAGGAGCAGACCACTTCACAGCTGGACTGGCTATCACCGGATTTGGGGCTGGGTTTGCGCAGATGGCTATGTGCAGCATTCCTGGTAAGTGAGCTGCGTCGTGTTCTACATGCTAGTGGGTCTGACTGTTACAGAACTTCTACCGAACAAGTTCCGGCACATTGGTATCTGTCTCTCGGACGGTTTCGTCTTCCTCATCGTTATAATTGGTCCTATTGTTGGAAGAGTGAGTGTAGTCCTTCGACCTGCTGGGAAAATAGCTGACATTCGTTCACAGTACGCCATCGACGTCAATGCGTGGCAGTGGGTATACTGGGCTGGTCTGATCGCTCAAGCCATATCCTTCATATCTCTTTTCTTGCTCTACAAGCCACCGAAGCACCCCAAGGGCGTTCCATGGTCCGAGGCAGTCCGAGGCCTCGACTATGTGGGCACTGCACTCATTGTGCCAGGCATCTGCCTTGCGCTTGTTGGTATCATCAACACCACATACAAGCCAAGCTCAGACGTAACCGTCATTGCACCCATGGTAGTCGGGTTCGTCCTGATCGCTGCATTTGGAGTCTGGGAGACGCTCTCGAACACACGCTTCAAACTCTGCCCGCCACACTTATTCCGGAGCCACAAAGGAAGAGAATTCACGGCGCCGTTCATCGTAGCGTTCATCGTCACCATGTTCTACTACTCGGTCAACATCATCTGGCCGACAATGGTCAATGTCTTCTACCTGGGCCCGAACGTCTCGCGGAGTACCGAACTGCTGCTTACACTGCCGCCGAATGTAGGCCTTGTCTTCGGATCACTATGCCTGATGGCTTTCGGCAACGTTATCGGACACTGGAAATGGACATTGATCGGTACCTGGACTGGCATGGTGTTCTTTGGCGCTTTAATGGGCCTTGTCACTCCGTTCAACCAGAATTTGATGATCGTGTTTTGCTGCATCAACGCCTCTTTCTTCGGATGGGCACAGTACGAGTCCATCGCGTTCACACAACTTGGCGTGCCACAACAAGATCTCGGTTTCTCGGGTGGCTTGGCGGGTATGGCTCGTTACGCAGGAGGATCGCTGGCTCAGGCCATCTATACCACTATCCTCACCAACACCCAGACCACTCGCGCTGCTGCGACGGTTCCCGCTGCTGCTGTGAAGGCGGGTATGTCGTTGGAGAACGCGCAAGCTTTACTTGCAGCTTTGCCCCTAGGCGCAGCCGCCATCGCCGAAGTGCCAGGTACAAGTCCAGAGGCACTAGGCGCGGCTTCTTTGGCGTTCCAATGGAGCTATGCGCACGCGCTAAAGATCGTGGCACTCAGTAGTCTGAGTTTTGGTATCGTAGGATTGCTCTGCATCTTCTATTGCGAGGATTTGACACCAAAGATGACGGACAAGGTGGAGGTCTTCCTCGAGAACGACGTGTACGCGGACAAGAACGAGTTCCACTGAGTACCTAGAATAGAATTCTGTAGCTTAATTAATAATCTGGCTGTCCTCACACCGTCTTTTGAATAGCGTTGGACATATCAATAATGCGGTGGTGCTGTGTTGGCTGCGCAAGAGTGTTAGGGGAAGCTAACCTTCTCGCCCGGCGCGTCACGACGTCATGGAGACCCTGAGAAAATGTCTCGGCACGTCTTCTCATCTTTCCTTCCTCCACCACGACATTGTCCTGTGAGCTCCTCATCAGACGTCGACGCGCCACGCACATGTCGCATACACTCAACGGGCCCCTCGATCTGGGATTTCGCATATTATGAATCGGCGACGCGTCCAAAAGAGGTTGGGATGACTCGAAAACGGCTATATTCTCGGGCGCTCCTCGCGGCAACCCCACAGCTCATGGGTACCGGATGGCCCGCCGAGGCGACCGGGCCTCCTTCTGAATTCCTCGTGATGCGACGCGGGATCTTCAGAAGAGCGCTGATGATCTGTAGAGTGTAGAGCGGCTGTTTGAAGTTATGCGCGCGGTAGGTAGCTTACGCACCGGTGTCCGTACTACTGACGTTTAGTACACCCCATGGGCAGTATGGGAAAACTCCCGTAGGAGAGAATCCATCTAGACTTCATGTCTCCACTATCGCAATCCCAATCGCAACCCCACCTTCCATACTGGTCGCCCATGCAAAGAGACAACATGTGGTCTCTACAAGGGCTAGTTTTTGACACACGCCGTGCCGGCGCCTTATCGCTTCGCCCTGCTTATAAGCTTCATTATCCTTGAGGCCTCACTCTTTTCAAAGCTCGCCCTTAGCACGTCTTGAAGAATGTCAAAGTCAGCTGTCGTGTTCGGCGCATCCGGTGTGACCGGTCAGTAAACCCCCCAAAAGACTATAGATGAGCTTCACACCGACAATGATCATGCAGGATGGTCCTTCGTCAACGAGATCCTTTCTGATTATCCCAAGAAGAACATATGGAAGCGGGTTCATGGACTCAACAACCGCCCCCTCGCTCCGAACCAAACGCAATGGCCAGAGGACCCGCGCCTAAACCTGGTCTCTGGCATTGACCTACTCGCGCATAGCCAAGAGAGTCTCAACAAGGAGCTGGTAGAGAAGATACCTGACATCAGAGAGGTGACGCACGTATACTACTTTGCGTACAAGGCGGGCATGGACGTACAAAAGGAGTTGGACGAGGCTGTGGAAATGTTTTCCAAGGCCGTGACAGCTATGGATCAGCTGTGCCCGAACTTGGAATACGTTGTGTTGCAAATCGGCTCGAAGATCTGTAAGTCCTATCCATTCTTTCGAAGGCGTTGGACACCCAAGACTGACATACATTAGACGGCTGCCACCTCCTCGCTGCGCTTCCCTGGTTCGATGAAGTGGCTCCCCCAGGCACCACCGGGCCCAAACTTCCTCCACCGCCGCTCAAAGAATCCTACCCCCGTATACCCAGCCCGTACGCCGAGATGCTATTCTACCACGCGCAGAACGACTGGATCTCCAATTACGCCAAAGACAAGAAATGGAGCTGGATCGAGACTCGTCCCGACCTCATAATCGGCTATGTGCCCAACCAGAACTTCTACTCGCTGGGTACATCCTTGGGCATCTATCTGAGTCTCTACAAGGAGATCCATGGCGAGGGTGCTGAATGCCCATTCCCTGGCAACCAAGGAGTCTGGAAAGCGCTGAGTAACGACAGCAGCAGCGACATGATTGCGCGCCAAACCATACACCTCACGCTCTCCCCCAACACCAAGAAGGGAGAGGCCTACAACGTCGCCGACTCCAAGACACCTTCAAACTGGGAGCAAAAATGGCCTATTCTGTGTTCCTACTTTGGCCTCAAAGCCACTGGGCCTGGTGCCGCTCCCATTGATGTGCGTAAGTTCATCAACGATAACATGGAGACATGGCTGGCAATGGAGAAGAAGTATGGGCTGCAACATGGCCATGTGGACGGTGGTCGTGGACTTCAGATTGCTGAGTCCATGCTCATGACCAAGTTTGACTTTGATCGTCAATTCGATATGACAAAGATGTATTCAACAGGGTTCACAGAGGAGAGGGGTACGAAGGAGACATGGGGAACTGTTTTTGACAGGATGAGGAAGGCCAAGATCATCCCATAGATATGGGACATGACATGACATGCCATCAATAGCGATGGCGTGTGGATACGTAGGATTCTTGAATGCATTACTATATCCAGCGCTCTGATGATGAGAAAGCAAGGAAAGATCTCAAGTACCTATTGAAGGACCATCCGTACAGTCAACCATCGGCTTAGTAGTTCATGTTTATCATAATCGTCTTCGGTTCCGTGAACGCCCTCAGCGCGTGGACGCCGCACTCCCTGCCCAACCCACTCTCTTTGCTTCCACCAAACGGTGTCATGGTGAACATCAAGCTCACACAGTTGACACCGACCATACCCGAGTCAAAGTCACTTGCGACGCGCAACGCCTTGTTGATATCCTGGGTAAACACACCAGCCATGAGACCAAAGTTTGTGTTGTTCGCCAACTGCATGATCTCTTCCTCCGTCTTGAAGGACTTGACGACGGAGACAGGGCCGAATATCTCTTCGCAGTGGATCTCAGACGTGGGATCGACGTCTGTGAAGACGGTAGGCTCGAGGTAGTAGCCTGACGTGCCGATGCGCTTGCCGCCAACTGCGAGGGTGCCTCCGCCTTGTTGGCCGCGCTCGATGAAGCCTTGTACGCGCTTGAACTGGGCTTCGTCGACCAGGGGCCCGATGTTTGTTGATGTCTCGTCTGGGTCGCCAATCTCCTTTGTCTTGTCCTTCATCGCTTGCTTGTACTTCTCGATGAAGGCTTCGTAAATGCCCTCTTGTACATAGACGCGGCTGGCGGCGAAGCAGACTTGGCCTGTGTTGGCAGTGATGGCATTGGCGGTCCAGGTAACCGCGTTGTCGAGGTTGCAGTCGTCGAATACGACGGCGGGTGACTTTCCTCCTAGCTCCAGAGTGACACGCTTGAGGTTAGACTTTGCAGCCATCTCTTGGATCTTCTTGCCTGTGGCGATGGATCCTGTGAAGCTGACCTTGCGGATGCGCATGTGGCTTGCGATCAAAGCACCTGTGCTTCCATCTCCAGAGAGGATCTGGAAGACACCAGGTGGGAAACCGGCTTCTTTGATGAGCGTACCGAGAGCCAGCGAAGAGAAGGGTGTCTTTTCTGAGGGCTTGAGTATGAAGCAGTTTCCTGTGGCGAGTGCCGGGGCTGCCTTGAGGCCAATGGTGCCAATAGGACCGTTCCAAGGTACAATGCCTGCGGTGACACCGAGAGGCTCGTTACGAACGATCTTGAGGAAGCCGTCTTCCTGGGGCCAAGACTCGCCGCCGAACTTGTCGATGAAGCCGGCGTTGTATCTGAAAACCTGATCTATCGTTAGTAGCCACTCTTGAGTTGTTGATAACTGTACACACCTCAGCGCAAAGACCGATCTCGAAAGCACCAAAGGCTGCTGGCGCACCGAGCGAGATTCTTGATAACTGTGCGATGCCCTCTGCGTTCTGCTCGATGAGATCTGCGAACTTATTCAGGATACCTCGGCGCTGATTCGCGCTCATCTTCTTCCATGCTGGGAACGCCTTGTCCGCCGCATCAACTGCAGCGTCGACATCCTGTTCACCTGCTAAGGGCACATCGTCTGCGAGCAGCTCGCCGTTCTTGGGGTTGTGTAGAGTGAGCTTCTTTGGCGATTTCGAGTCAACATACTCGTTGTTGATGAAGATTTGCTTTGGCAGGTTCTTGGCAGAGTATTGTAGTGTCATGATGGGCGAAGTTTGAGGAAGAATTTTGCAAGAAAGCACGAAGGATAGGGCCCAAGAAGGGTATGTTAAACTTGTACTCGAGAGATGGCGCACGCGTATGGAGCGCTGGCTAAGTAATCGAACCTCTTAACTAATGTGGTAAGTCTTGACCCCGGAGGTATGCAGCCTGGTGGCGGTTGCTGTCGGTTGCGCGAACGCATTGCAGCCATAGGTAACACTGCATGAGGAGAAGTTAGCTTGGCGACGACGTGGTGTCGCAAGACCGTGTGTCCGGATGATGGCGATGGTGCTCGCGGTTTGTTTTCCGTGCCTTCGGCGCGTGCACGCGTCGAGTCAGCGTCTCCACTTTCCCCGCATCGCCCCGCGTCATGCTGTGTGACGGCCATGGCGAAGCTGCGTACGACAGCTTTGATTCATGTCTATCACACGCAAAGGTTGAACGAGAGTCATGTCAGATGCTGTAGAGCTAGAGTTCGCGACGACGCCTATGAGTGTGATCCATGTTGCAGGTGCGATCGGCTTTTGAAGTAAAAGTGGAAATGGTCACCGCTGAAGCAAACCGTAACGTGAGGAAGCATGACGGATATGCTTGGAGATATGTCAAGGGATTGCCAATTCATTCATCACTACAAGCTGTCAACTCGGAAGATGCTTTCCTAGTGAATGCGGAGAAGGAACACACGGGACGTGTCTGCGTTTTCTAAAGGCGGCTGCTTGAGCTACTCACCCAGATAGACAGTACCGCACCAATAGTCTATATCACACAACATTGCAATTAACATATCAACTCCTATTGCTATTTTAGTTCGACCTGCTTCCAAACTCCTGATTGTCCCAGATTTCAGACTCTCCTCTCACAAACGCAATACTTCCAAAGTGGGTTTTGACCACGAACGCTTCTCCCAAGATGTCGAAGAAGGTCGCTTTGATCACCGGCGGAGCATCAGGCATGGGCCTAGCTGTTGCAACATCTCTCTCGAATCGGACTCACGAAGACTGGGAACTCCATCTTCTCGACATGAATGCTGAAGCCGGCAAACAAGCAGCTAGCAAGCTGAAAAATGCCCAGTTTCACCAGACAAATGTCACTGATTACTCTTCACTTGTCTCCGCATTCGAAGCCAGCTACAACCCATCTCAAAGGCTAGATTTTGTATACGCGAACGCCGGTATTGTGGAGCGCGACAACTTCTATGCGA